GGCGGCCCATAACCGGTTATAAAGTACCTATACCGGTCCTATCATTTTCGACCGGGACCGGGACCGGTTATGGCCGGTTATGAGAATGGTGAGGACCGATTGGGACCGGCCCGGGACCGGTTTTTGGCCATCTCTAGATTGGAGTAAGTTAATGGCAAGCCCATTATAATTAATTAAATCCTAAGCCCATGAAAAGTTAGAAGGAAAAGCCCAAGGAAGCATTAGGGTTAATTCTATATAAATATAGTAATTAACCTAATAAAAAGAAGACTCCTCTTCCTCCTCTCTCTCTCTCTAAATACGGCGCCCACCCTAGGGTTTCCTAGGGTTTTTCGGTTTTTCATCTTCTTACTCGTTCTTCGTGTAAGAAGGTTCGTTACTAAGAGAACTAGCATCCAGTGGTGATTGAGGACGTGTAGTATGGACTACTCTAGATGTATTCTCTCTAGAATACTTGGTTTCAAAGCCTTGCAAGTGAACACGGTCTTTCATCTACAAATCACGCTACAAAGGTATATCGTTATTTGTTTTATCGTATAATCTTTTGGCAATACGTTGATCCGGTTTTGGTGATTATTTCCGCTGTTGTTCTTTTTATTATGATCACCAACACTTAAGTCATTTGGGAAAACACGGTATGTGCCATTTAAAGGATCTTTAGTGGATAGAGATCGTTGATAAGCATATAGCATCTGAAAGACCATCCATTGTTGAACATCTGACAAAACATAGCTATTGGCAGATGATCAGATGAAGTCTATCACATGAAGTCAAGAGCTGACACTATAAGATAATGTTGACCATTCAAGATCAACATACAAGTGTTGAACATCTAATGAAGATATTAGATGGCAGCCTATCCCTGATCAACCTAATGCTAATCTGTGTCAAATGACCCTACCTAGCAGATGATATCTTAACAGGCGGACCAACTCATCAGTTAAAGATGTCATCACCTAAATGTTGACCAGTTGATTGATTCCATCCAATGATGTTCCCGCTAAAGGACTATATCGCCATAAAGGACAACAAGGACGAATGTACAATCTGACATATCTTCTCCAAAGTGTTTTTTCCTCTTTTGTCAACCTGCTAAGGACAACCAGCTTACTTAGCTTTTAATGCGGCATGGTTTTCGGATGTTTTTGGGTCCCAACAAGATAATATTTCGGATCGGATCCTCAAGAATTATTGGATCATTAAAGTCTTTTGGATCTTGATATTTTCGGATTCCATAAATTCGGGTCCTTAACGCATTTCGGATCCCAAGATACATTTCGGATTTCATCCTCATTCAAATTTGTATCTATTAAAGGTTGATCCTTTAGTTTGTAATTCATATTTTAAACAAAAATCCTAAAACTTTTCTAAATGTTTTATTTGATGTATTTGTGTAATTATCAAATCAAATGGTTGAGATGAATATTTTTTTTATTATTTTGTAACATATAAAATTGTATATTTAATTTTAACAAAAATAAAAAAAAAACTCAAAAATAAATTTTTTAACATAAATTAATGAGTTCTGATGCACCAACCTACTTAATTTGCGAAAAGTAAACTGTCATCTGCCTGTATTGATTGAGATCACAAGACAATGAAGTTCAAGCCTCGCACGACCATTACTTCAACCTTTTAATAAATGATTTGCTTTTACTTTTTATATTTGGACTTTATTATTTAATAATTGAATTTATAAAGCTTGGAAAATATATTACTTTTTTAAAGGACAAAAATCAATAAAAATGGCAAATTTACAGTTTTATGAAAAATAAAATGTCAAAACATTGGACCCTTTTTTAGTTTAGTTTATAGATAGAAAACAAATGATATAACCTCATTTTAATTCTAATTTTTTATGTTAAAAAATTGTAATATTATTCCTGTCATTTTGATTATAAATTAATCATTATAACTACTATCTTGTATGTTAAATTGAACAACAACTTTTTTGTATTTTTGTCATTTTGGTTATAAATTGATCATCACTAGCTACTAAATTGTATATTTTAACTTTTGAGATAGTTTAACTGTTAATCCAGCCAAACATCCAAAAAAAACCAATTTTTGGCAGTTTCAAAATTATTAATTTTTAACAAAACTAGTAAATTGTTGTAGTCAAAAGTTAATGTAAATTGTATGAAAATATAGTCTATTTTGATATAGTTCATATTCTAGGTAACATAGTTTTAAAACCTTTAGTGTCATATCTGAGATATGATTTAAGTACCTGTTTTTTTAAATCGAGGGACATTTTTATCTTTTTATTATTTATTTTAAATTACTATATTACATTTATATGAAACCTTTATCGTACATATGCTCAAAACAATGTTGGTACAAGTGTTTAAGCATCAAAACATAAACTCTAACTTTAATACTTGTAACAATTCTTTGACCAATTATACAATGAAACTTTAATATAATATTTTTTTAAAGTAATAAAGAGACAAAAGAATGTCTCTCTATTTAAATAAATAAGTGTTTGAGATGTCATTTTTCATATCCTCAAAGTAAGAATTGTATTAAAGTAGATTGTATAATTTGTCATTAAGAGTAGCAAAGCGTTTTTTGTTTTTTTTTACTATAAAGTTATACTTCTATTTTTTTTTCTTATAATATTCTTTTTTTTTTCATTTCTTCTTGCATAGGTGGTATGTTTTCAAATATAAATCTAAGAATTTTAAAATTAAACAAAACTTAGTTGACTTTGAAAAGTCAGATGTCATAAAGAGTATATAAAGTAAGAAACAAATGATTCAAATGAAAAGAACAAACCTTTTGGTTACTCCTCGGGTAGGCTTACAAATCTTCGGCAGCTCCTACAAACAACTCATCTCTCGGAATTTAATTTTGCGGTCATGTTGATATCTGATCGGATATTGCTCAAGGTCATTGTTCTCGGCGATAGTGGGTATGTCTTGTTTTTTCGTTTACGTTAAAGTTAATCAAAGCTTTTTTCTTGAGTCATGTCACAATCACGAGCGTATTTCAGTCCAACAGAGTCTTGCACCGTCTTGTTTACAGTTTGACCAGTTCATGACAAAATGTATAGGTTCGGGATTGGCTTGTTGAAAGCTCGAAATTTTTTAACTCGACTGAGTTCATATGGCTAGTATAATGTGGATTTTTTTTGGGATCCTAAGGGTGTTCAAAAACACCTGGATTGCGATAATCGGTTGCGCCAAACTAAGGTGGACTATTTTTGACGGTTTAGTTAGATTGGTTTGGAAAATGGTCAAACCACTCGTTTTGTTGGTTTGAATATGTTAACTTTGGTTAAACTGACTTGATTGTATTAATATATATATATATATATATATATATACATGAATTATCATATAAGAATTAGAGTTAAGTTGAGAAATGGAGACCCTTGATCAACTTTAATCTTGCCCCCACTCTATGAATAGCACTTGATACAAGAATTAAGCTGATGCATCTCCTTAGTGTTGATCTCCGATTTATGATTGATCTAAGGTTGGAGATCACTTCTTACCTTTCTCAGCTTAACTTTCATTATCACCGAGACCCTACCTTATATATATATATATATATATATATATATATATATTGGTTAGGATGAAAATGAAAGTTATGGTTAAAATAGTATATAATTAGTGATCTCTATTCTTGTATCAATTATAATTGAAGATCAATACATGTGAGCTGTACCAGATCAATTCTCTTATCAAACACAATTCATGGTGTGGGGTGAGATTATAAGTGATCAAGGGTCTAGATCGCTTCTTACACTTCTCACCTTTCATACGATCTTCTCTCTCTCTCTCTCTCTCTCTCTCTATATATATATATATATATATATATAGGGTTGGGTAAGTGTAAGAATGGATCTCCATCATACGATCCACATCAGGATGAGATTCACCAAGATGAGATGCACCGGATAAATTCCCCTATCAAACACGATTCATGGATGAGTTTGAGATTAAATGTGATCAAGGTTCCAGATCCTTTTTTACGCTTCTCACCTTAACTCCTATTTTCACACGACCTTCTCTCTCTCTCTCTCTCTCTCTCTCTCTATATATATATATATATATATATATATAGAGAGAGAGAGAGAGAGAGGAGTGATCAAATAAAAATCGCCCTCATTTGTGTAAACCGTGTAAACCGTGCAAACCACCTTCATCCGTCGATTTCATTGTTTAATCTTATGAAATTTTTTCATAAATTGTTTAATCTTGTGAAATTGTTTCATATAATACTTTTTTTGATCAAGTTGTTTCATATATGGTTGTGAAATTGTTTCATATAATACTTAATGAAACTGTTTCATGTATTTCTCTAAAATTAATGAAACTGTTTCATGTATTTCTGTAAAAATTAAAATAATGAAGATGATAATATCTATGATTAACACCCTCCACAATAAAAATGATTAATCAACCTCTCATAATTACAAAAAAATGAACAAAATGAAAAATTATGATTGGTTGAATGAGGTTTGCACGGTTTGTACAAATTGAGTGGTTTGCATTTGATCGCTCCTCTATATATATATATAAAAGATGATAATCAAATGAAAACCATAAAATAGTTGAGAACCTTAAGAATCAATCTCAATCATTTAAGCATTTTGATCCAATGATAATGCAAATTTTTTCAATTTTAATTCATTAGTGATATAATGTTAAGTTTAATTTTTTGAGTAGTGGTGCGCCGCTATCCACTTGGCCACTTTCATCTTCTTTTTGTACGTTTAAACTTTGAAATTTAATAAAAAGTAATTTTAGTTTTTTAATATTTGTTTAAAAAATAATATTATTAAATAACTTTTGACTCATTTATCGCGCATTTAATAGCATCTCCAACGAGCTGAAAATGAGATCGGCTAAAAGTAAGAAGATGGTATTAATGGAAACCAATAAGACATTTATTACGATTAGTTCGTGTAGTGAATTTACTGTTTTGTAGAAAAAGTTTTTGACCGAAGACAAAAAAGTTGACCCACTTTATTCGCTGGTCGAATCATCCTCGCTTTATGGGAACAGCAAACCCACCATCTCGCTCTTTCCTTTCTTCGGTATTGTTATTATTACGTTTGTTTTTCTTGAAAAATTGTTTGATCAATTAATTATGTATAAATTATGTGTCTTGATTTTATTAATCTTACAATATGTAATAATTACACTATTTTCATTGTACACATTGTGAAACAACATATGAGTAAAGAGTTAAGTGTTGTTTCATACTCTGAACAACACATGAGTTAAAACTCAAATGTTGTTTCATATTGTGAAATAATATATTGTTGTTTCACTATGTGAAACCTCATATTGGTCAACATCAAGTGTTCACTGTGAAATAAAAAGAGTTAACGTGAAACAGTAAAATGATAATTTATGTTGTGTAACAATACAATATGAAACAATGCAATGTCGCTTCATAATGTGAAAACAAGTGTTGTTATTTTGAAACGCGACGTAAAATGCTGAAGTTTTGTTTCACAATTTGAAAACAGAAAAAAAAAAAAAATTGATGTGAAATTAGATGTGAAGCACTAAAGTATTGTTTCATATTATGAAACAATACAATGTTGCTAATGTGAAACAATGTAGTGTGGTTTCACCATGTGAAACGAAAGAAAAGTTGACGTGAAATGTGATTTGAAATACTAAAGTGTTGTTTCACAAGGTAAACTAACATACGAGTTAAATTACTTTTATTGTTTCTTGTGAAAATTGCAATTATTAAAAACACGTAAAAATATAATAACGATACTCATGTCAAATTAAATAAAATAAAATGTTCGTTTTTTATATAGTTTTTTTAATTAAAAAGTTTATTGTAATTAATATATTTTTTATTTTAAAATTTTATCGTAATTAATATAATTTTGATAGTCATCATTGTTGAATTTTCGTTTACTATGGATTAGATATGTCTAGAACGCCCTTTTCAACTTGTTATTTATCTAATAATTAGTTTTAAATTTCAAAAATATCACAAAAACTCATCATATTTCATAGTCATAAATTAAATTCAGTTAATGATCAAGGTTGGTCCTTATAGTACTTAGCCTATTTCTGGTCCTCACATGATTTAACCTCCATATAAATGAATGATCATGTGAGAATAAGGGTTAAGGTGAGAAATGTAAGAAGAGATATGAACCCTTGATCACTTTTAAGTAGTGTTCATCTAGTAGTTCTCATTAAATCTCAAAACAATATATATATATATATATATAGAGAGAGAGAGAGAGAGAGAGAGAGAGACAAATAATTGTGTAAGAAACAGAGTTAATATAAGAACTATAAGAAGGGATCTGGACCATTGATTACATTTAATCTCAAACCCACCAATAAATCGCGCTTGATACGGGGATTCATCTCATTCTAATGTGTATCCAAGAGTGGAGATCCCTTCTAACTCTTCTCATCTTAATTCTTTATTTTCACCGGACATATATATATATATATATATATGTGTGTGTGTGTGTGTGTATGTGTGTGTGTGTAAAGAAAGGCTTAAAGGAGAACAATACTATTTTAAGAAAACACGTGAAATAGAGAATCATTGATAAACCACACACAATGGACATCGGCAACTTAGGTTGTAGGTTAAGTTGCCCACAAACTATTTCATTCTCGTACAATATCATTTGTGATGATTGTCAATATTAGGTGTTTTTGTTGTTTTCGTAAAATGAGTTCGTTTTTGTTTGAGCTCACATATATATGTATATATATATATATATATATATATATATATATATATTACATATTCTTTATTTTGTTTACTGATTTTACCCATTTAAACAATTTAAGGTTCTAGGTTTATTTGATTTCTTTCTTAATTCTTTACTTTTGGTGTATGGACTATGGTTGATCACTTGATTGGTTATGTGTGTGTGTGTTTTTTTTTTTAATTTTTAAGTTATATTTTGATTTAATTCAACTATGTATTCAATTTATAGTTTAAAGCATTAAATCGTATAGACCGGTTAGTACATAATATACTTTTGATATCTGATTTGACTTGTTTGCTACTTCATACCAAACTGTACGGTTGACAATCTGACGAAATTTTTTTGTTTTATTTTTTCTTGCAGGGTTGGAAAGACATCTTTGATGAATCAGTATCCTATAACAATTTATCATGTTATCCTACTGATATTACATAATGAATGTATCAGATATAACAAAACCTAATGGATTTTGAAATGAATAATTACACAAAATTTTGGGTGCCTATAACAAGGTGGTGTTTATATAATCATGACAACTTTTAAGACTTTCTTGTTTAAATTAACCGCGAGTCTAGATACGTTTATAACAAATTCAGCAAACAATACAAGGCGACGATCGGTGCCGATTTTGTGACGAAAGAGTTACATATAGACGACAAGCTCGTGACGTTGCAAGTAAGTGATTGTAGCGATTTAGTTTTCATTACTTTTCCACTTTATCTCATGGACCTGCTATGATGTCCACAATCGTCTTTACAAAGTACTAATAAGTAACTGAAATAAGCTTTCGTTTTTTTCAATTTGTATTATGGACCTGCTAGGATGCCCACAACTATCTTTATAGAGTAATCAATAGGAATTTTAAATTTATAATATTAACAATATCATATCTTATGTAAAGTGTTACAATATTGTTTTATTTGTTTAAACGAAGTTTAATAACCTAAATATAATGAGATTAAAGATAAAAGCTTAAAGTCATATACATTAAATGATAAGTATGACTTAAAAAATAAATCTTAATATTCTTTTTACATAACATTTTTTTTGAAAAATTTACTTGTTGTCGAGTGCATCTAGAGGAATACTTTTGAGTGATTTTTTCTTCTAAATATAGGAAGATCAAAGGGAAAGAAAAGAGAAAATGTCTTAATTTTCATTCCTAAAAAATGAGAACTATTGTAAAAAAGGATATGTCAACACCCTCTGGCATAGCATATTGTATTAATCCCACGAACATCACGAGGGAGGTAAATGACGTCTCCCGAGGACAAGTAGGTGGTGTAAGGAGTCGATCCTCAAACCTTGCACCCGATATGCAAAAAAGCTCACCTTCCGTAACCCTAAGCAAAGCCATGAAGACCCAAAAATGGGAAAAATTATAATCATGGTTTTTCAAAATAAAAGTTTTGATTCATGATTCTGTGAAATATAAATGTCTTGTCAAAAAAATATTCTAAAGGTGTGTCATGACAGCTGTCGTGGCACAAAACTCTTCTCTGACGCCATGTTAAGTCCAGAGCACAACAAACCACAAAGGTTGTGGCGTAAGTGTTTGAGGCGTTGAGAGATGTGATGAAATATCCCATCTACGCGGGGGTCTATTCCAGGTGTAGACAACAGTTGTGGTCACTGAGTTTATCAGAGATGATTTCTTGTAGTCACAATTTGCTGGCATTAGTCCAGGCATAGCCTGAGACACACTTCCGATAAAAAATTTGGGGCACGCTATCCATGAGACCACTTCTTTACACTTAAAACTTCACGGTAAAACATGTGAAGATAAAGAAAAATGTGAACAAAAATATTGTGAAGGTTATCTTCAGAGCAAAAATACTGTGAAGATTATCTTCACAGTATTTGCTGTAAATTTTCAAGTATAAAAAAATGATCTCACGTGTTTCACGAAAACAAACTATTTCCACGTGATTTCAAGTGTCTCTTTATATACACACACGTATGCGGGAGATACTTCTTTTGGAAACTCTTTAATTCATAATATCTGTAAAATTCAATTTACATTTACATTTAAAATTTAAATTAATTTAATAAAAACTCTCTCTCCACTGTCTTTCTTCTCTTCTCTCCATAAATGCACCCACACAAATACACGGACATAAGTTAATGTGCATAAACATTCTTAAATATATTATTATAGTTTTAAAATAGATTGTGAATATATGTTAAATATACGAGATCTGGTATAGCTTATGAATATATTATGAACACTAACTAAAGCAATATAACTAAATTTAAACCTATCACTTGTAATTTACAAACGCTATGTGAACACCATTGTAAGAAAGTTTTTATTGTTTTTTACATTGTGTTTACAATATTTACATATTTAATTGTGCTTGTGTTACAGACAGGGATATGTATGACATTTGGATTTTCCAAAAAAATGCATTAATGTTTATCTAATAAATAACATTAATCATCCCAAATTAGAGGTTTAATATGGATTTCACAAATTTTAGAATTTTAAATTAATTAAACCCCTATACATATAATTATACATATGATACACATTTGTCGTTATAAGTCATACCTTAAAAAAATGTTATCCATTAGTCACAAGGGTTGGGTTCGAGTGAGAAATAGAGTTAAGATGAGAAGCGTAAGAAAAAATCTCTGCTCTTGGATGCACCTTAGGATAAGATGCATTGCATCAATCTCGTATCAAGAGTGATTCATGAATGAGTTTGACACTCAAAGGTTCAAATCATTTTTTACGCTTCTCAATTTAACTTTCTTTTTTACACGATCTTTGATTTCGTCATAATTGGTAAAAATTTAAACGACGAATGAAGAAATTAATATGGTTGATGTATGTTATGAACAGATATGGGACACAGCTGGACAAGAAAGGTTTCATAGCCTTGGAGTTGCTTTTTATAGAGGGGCTGATTGTTGCATTCTTGTTTATGATGTCAACATTCAGAAAACTTTTGAAACCCTACAAACTTGGCATGAAGAGTTTCTAAAACAGGTTTTTATATATTCTGTTATTCTTTTTCTTAATAAAAAGCTATTCAAATAAAAGACTGTATGTCTCATTTTCTTTATTCTAGGCCGATCCAAGTGAACCCGAGAGCTTCCCATTTGTGTTGCTAGGGAACAAGGTGGATACACACGGAGGGAGCAGTCGAGCTGTAAGTGTATGTATATGTATATATATTATATATTGGCAAAAGATCTTGTGAGAAGGAAAGTTATGCTAAAAACATAAGAAGAGATCTGAACTCTTGATCACTTTCAATCTCATGCCAACTACCCATGAATTGCGTTTTCGAAGATAATTCATTCGGTTATCCTGGTGCACCTCACTAGGGTTGACATTCAATTAAAACTGATCTAAGAGTGAAGATTTTTTCTTACGATTCTCATCATACTTTCATTCTCACCGGAACCTAACACACACACACACACACACTCTCTCTCTCTCTCTCTCTCTATATATATATATATATATATATATATATATATATGTAATCCTTCTTTTGACAACCCTCTAAATTGAGATCATTGAAAACTAATGGATCATGTGCTATTTTATATGATTTTTTTTCATTTATGGCTAAAACTTCATGTAATGATTTATTTATAATTATTTGACAACATGTTTCGGTTCACAATGTGAATCTTTTTGGTGTGTTTGTGAAACAAAAAATACACGTGAAAAAGTTTCATATTGTGAACCGAATACATTTGAAATAAACATATCGTGAAACAAATATATATTAATCAATACATTAAATATTATACTTGTATGAAAATTTTGGAGTCAAAAACAAAATCTTAAGATAAAAGTTTTCACAGATCTTACAAATTTTGGAGTTCTCAAATGTTTAAGCCCAAATATATATATATATATATATATATATATATATATATATTTGCTCCAATGGCTATAATAAAATGACCTCTAATTTAAAGAAATCTCTAAAATCTAACATTGAATAAAGAGATAGATTATTTTGATTATTTCCATCAATAAGATTGAATATGCTATAATTTTTTTTTAAATGTATTGAAATTTATAATGTTGAATCCCTATATATGAATTTATAAGGTTGAATCCTTGATAAAGTAACTATCAGAGTTGAATGTATTTTTTTAAAGAGATTTAAACCGTTCATGCTTTATTTTAGAAAAATTATATTATATCTGTTGGAGATGCTTTAAGAAAGATGATAAACTTATTATGTTTGTTAAAAATAACTCATAGTCTAGAAGATAAAATAAAATAAAAATATTAGGTATATATGTAAAATATCAATAAAAAAATGTGAAAAATATCCTAATAAACTTTTAGAGGTAATTTTTTTAAAAAACATGGTTTATAAGCTATTATACTTGAGTACCGATTATCTTGAATGAAGGTTTCCGAGAAGACAGCAAGAGAGTGGTGTGCTTTGAAGGGAAACATACCGTACTTCGAGACATCTGCAAAAGAGAATTACAACGTCGATGCTGCCTTCCTTTGTGTTGCAAAAACGGCACTTGCCAATGAACATGAACATCAAGATGTAAATGAAATGTTAGTATATCTTCTTAAGCATTTTTTGCATTTTTGTGGAACTCGAGAAGGACGAGCCTTGAAACAATCGCAATAACTAAATGTTACTTGTTTGGATCCTAGAAACCAATTTCTTTACGAAAATATAAAACACAGTGGTGTTCAAAAAAATCATTGACCACACAAATTGATTGAACACGACTAACTCTAAGTATTTTTGACGATATGAGGTGGGGTTTGAATTAAAAATGCATGGTTTGGTGCAGTTTACAACCTCTACAATATACCTTTTATCATATTTCATCAAACTACTTTTTAGTTGTTCTCTAAATTTCTCCCGTTTCATACAAGTCTTAAATTTATGAGTTCATAGTTCAAAAAACCCACAATAATCCCTAACCCTGTAAACTAGTCAGACCTAATCCCATTCAATGATCCGATTTGACTGTCCCAAATAAAGTTCTTAAAGAGATATTATGTTTTTTTTATAATATAACCTTTGAGTTTGTTTTTGATAGGTATTTTCAGAGAATTCCAACAACAATTTCAGAAACCGAGCAAGAAAGAAGTTGTGTCTGTTGATCTCTCTCGAATTCAACAAAGATTTCCAGACTTAGGTTTTATCGTTTAAAAGTTAACAGTTTTTTTGGTTACAAAATTGATTTTTATATTTAATTTGTTATCATTGTTAAAGAAATTGATGATATATATTATTGACTTGATGAAATATGTTTTACGTGCAAAAAACATTGAAAATATAGAACACAATATTATTGACTACATTTTACAAGATTTTCAAATATTTTTGCTGTCGATTGATTATATTTGATAGAACGATGGCGTTCAATTTAAGCATTATCTGATAAACATAAACTAGCTAGGTTATTTTTTGAGTTTTTTAGAAGTTTTATCTGGATAGACTGAAGCTATTTTGTAAGTTATTCTATTGAAAAGCTACTTAGAGTGATGTTTCATAAGCTTTACGAGTTTTTTGTTTTTTTTTTCCTTTTAAATATACCCTTAATATTTTAAGCAGATGATAGAATTAACCCCTCCCTATCTACAAAATAACCCACTTATCTTCCTAAATCACTACAAAATTGGATTTATAGGATGTCAACAAAATTTTAAGTATCATAATAGACCGCTTTATAAGACTTAATTTTTAGGACCCGAGAATAAATTGTCATATATAAAGGCGTTGTAATAAGTTTATAGAATGTTTCTAGACGTCTTAACAAGTTTTTAGGACACTTTTAGTACAAAGTGCTCTATTAGTAATTTTATAGGGCAATATTTGGAAAAAAAAATGTCTTATAAAAATAAGTGTACTATAAACAGATGAGTTTATAGGACACTTTCTCAAAAGTATCCTATAAAATTGTTAATACGACGCTTTGTATTAAAAGTGTCATAAAAACTTGTTAAGATGCCCAAAAGTGTCCTATCAGCTTATTATAATGCCTTTAGATAAGACATTATATTTTTGGTCCTATAAATTAAGTAATATAAAGTGGTCTGGTTAGCACGCTTAAAGCTCTACAAGTGTATTGGTTGAATATTTGAAGGCTTCAGACACCCGAAAGAACCTTTTGTTTTTGTATTTGTCCCTGTATAATAGGCCTAATTCTGGTTGAGTCAAGGCAGAAGCAGTCTTTATTTCTTGAAGTCCAGGAATGTCTTGATTCGGAGCCTTGCAAGAGAGCTTTTCAATGTCGAGTTCTATAGCAATCTGGAAATCATTCTTTGCTCTGAACTTGACAAGAGTTCCCATTGTCTCCATGATCGCTCTTCGAGCCATTCCATACCTTAATCTGTGATCCTCTCGCTGAGTAGTGTGTTGGGTCTAAATTGTTGTATTCAAGTCTCAAATTTATTGTGTTTTACATGCTTTATAGATTAGTTTGTTCTTTGTATTTGTTGGGTATAAATAGATTGTTGCTGGTAGTTTAGTTGGTTAACAACAACAGTTAGTGTCAGTTGTAAGAATTCGTAAACTGTTGAGAGACATTTATGTATTGAGAGAGATCAAGAACACTTGTATCATCTTTGACATCAATATACATGCCAACTTATTCAAATTCAATTTTGTGTTCCTGATTCGTGATTGGATTGCTGTAAAAGACTTGAAAATGGGATCATCAATTGGTATCAGAGCTAAACAAATCAATCTTGATTGGTTTTGGATCGATTCTGAAGCTGAATTCTTGATTTTGTTGATTCGAAGCTTTCTGTTTTTTGTTCTTACTATTTTGATCGAATTAGGCTACTTTAATATGTTTTTGGTGAAATTGTTTGTGCTAAAACTGTTTTTGTGAGGTTTTCACACTAATCTATGCAAGAAATTTAATTGATTTTGAGATTTTTGGTGAAATTATTGAAGTTATGTTCATAGTTTGTCTTGTCACATGTTGAATATTGAACGAGTGAAAAGTGTTTCTTCATCGCCCAATAAATCTGTTCTTGAAGCTCATTGTTCATTTTGAAACTTCATCGGCCAAGTGATTTGAAAGGATTAAGTGCTTTCCTCGTTCGATTGATCTTCGTCGCTCATTTGGTAAGTGATAACAAGCCTCATCGCTTGATTTCCTATACTCATGGCTGAAGGATTTATTCTCATCACTCAAGGTATAAGCCTCATCGTTTGATTTATTGTATTCATCACTCAATGCTTCTCATTGCTCAATATTGTCTCATTGCTCAAGATTTTTGTTGTATATTCGTCTAAGTGTTGGACTTCATCGCTCAACGCTTGAGTGGATAAGTGACTTGTACTTCATCGCTCGAAGCCTGTTTGATAATCCCCCTTCATCGCTCGAAGCTTGTCCGATAAATCTCTTGATCGCACACCGTGTCACCCGATAACCACCTCTCATCGTCCAAACCTGTCCGATACCATTTGCTGAGAGATAATCTTTCTGAACGATAACCAACCTTTGGTGAGCGATAACCTGTATTTTCTGATAACCTTGTCCGATAAAGCTTGTTCGTTAACCTTGTTGTCCGATAACCAAGTAGTGTGTCCAATAACACTCTTTTGAGCGACAACCACTATTTCTTGTCCGATATCTTTGGTTTTTTGAGTGATAAGCAATCAATTGGTATCTTGATTGAGCGATAAGAAGTTATTTTAGTGAAATTGTTCAAGTTTCAAGAATTCTATCTGCTGTTCAAAACCAGTTGAAGATAATTTTTTTGAACGATCAGTTCAAGTCTGAATTAAAAATATCTAAGGATATGTTGAGCATCGAGTCAGATTCCAAGTCTCCAGTTCTAGCTGTCGATGAGTATTGGGTTCCAGCTAGATCTACAAGAATTATAGGATCAGTTTGTAGAAGGGGAGATGAATACAAACACATAAACTTTCACCTTTAAAAATTATATATTGATAAAGAAGGATCAATACAAATTTTACAGATCGTTTGCGGAACATATAAGGTAAAGAAACCTATCTAAACAATCTAAGGATACACACTATTACACTTAGCAAAGAGAAAATATTTACTGTAAGAATTGAAGACTTAGAAAAGTGTTCTTCACTTGTTCAAAGTGGTTTTTTCTCTTTAGAGAGAAAGTAGTGAGAGAAGTAACGTCTTGGGTAAGTTTCATAGAGAGGAAGAGTTCTCTTGTTATAATGAGTAGAGAGCACTCAACTATTTATACCCGTTGCATTAAATGCAATTCATAAGGTAGAGAACACGTGTCAAGCTTTTGGAGGAAAGCTTGTCCTTCGCTATAGTGAACAGTCTTATCACTGTTCATTAGCAGTCTTTTTTTCATAAAGTAGGTAAGCATAATAGAGTCAACTGAGTGGCTCTATACTATACTATACTCTAGAAAAGGAATGGATTTGTCCTTAGTGTGTGGAAGGACAAGACAAAAACAATCGTGCATGGAAAGCTTCATTTTAACGTTGAAAGCTGGGATGACGCTGGAGGTCTCTTCAGCATTCGCTGAAACTTTTGTAGTATTCACACATATGTAGACGAGCTTGTAATATGTGAATGTCTCTTCAGATCACGAACACGCTAGTCTCTAATCTTCAGTTCTGTCTTTGACATTGCTGAAGGTTCTTTGGTGTGAGTTTTGTCTTCTTGAAGTATAACAGTCACTGGAAAGTTACCATACATGTTCATTGATCACTAAATAGACTCAATGATGATTGCTGAAATTGAGAAATATAAACAATATAGTTCGATAGGTAAAAGAAATTATAATCAAATCAATGAGAGATGATCAACAATCTCTCCCTATTTGATGATGACAAAGCACCATAAAGAAAATTGCCTAAATTATAATAGTAAAGAGAAGTTATAAGTAAAGTACATGTCCCTTTTAACTATTTTGGGTTCTTTTTTAGTGATTCAGTTTTTTTATAAAGTTTACTTAAGTTGTAAAGGATTACAAGTTTAAGAGAAACAAGTACAAGTGTGATAACTGAAACTGAAAACTTATTCACTAACATAAAGTTGTCAGTGAATATAAAAGTAAACTAGAACTCATAGATACATGTCCCTATTACTCTTTTCAGGGATCTTTTTCAGTGATACTTAAGAAATACTCATATTATTAATTGGAAAGGTACAAGTGTTACATTAGTAAGTTCTAAACCTATTACATATAAGTTGTACACTGAAAGTAAAAAAAAAAAAACAAGATTACAAGATAGAAAGTTTTAACTATTCTAGGTCGTTGAAGTTGATGTACTCAGACAATTCTTCTCCAAGCTTCTTTCGACGTAGATATTCTTTTCTGATCCTGCGTTCCGTCATCTCACCATTTAGGTCATTGTCTACCAAGATCTTAGATATTCGAGTTGTTCTATTGGACAGAGACGGAACGCAAATACTCTTTGGAAGTTGTACTCGCCTTCATAGCCAATGAATGTAAATCCATACTCAGGCTTGAAATGCAGTGTGACATACATGAGTTAGTGTTTGGAAATTATACATTGTGTAAATATATGGAGTGCATGGGCTATGTGTGCATGAGGTTTGAAAGGAAAATAATTTTATTTAAAATGGTTTCTTTTTCACCGCCTTCCTAAAGAGGCAGGTATAAAAGGAAAGGTTTTAAAAAGAAAGCTTTTATTTCTGCCATTTTTGGGAAAGAATCGGAAAAGAGAGTTCTATGTGTTACTTGCTAAATTTGGAAACTAAGGATTGGATCGAAGCAAGTGTTATTTACTCTTCTTCAAATTCAAAGTCTAAGATGAGTTCTTTTAAACAATCAGACTTTGAATTACTTATTAATGGTTTTGTGATTTTTGAGTGAAACTATTGGGTACTATGCATTTTATACGTATATGTTTTTATAACATTCATTGACCGGTAAGGGCTTGTATTCGGACATGTGATGTCCGATGAGGGCTCCTTACCAGCTAAGCCTTGGTTGGTGAATAGATTACTATGATAACTCCTTGTTCGATGAGATCTCTTATCGAACATAGTCTTGTCTGATAAGAACTCTTTATCGGACATAGTGTTGTCCGGTTTGTTACTCATTGCTCATAGTGTTATTTGAAGTTATAATCAGGCAAGCCTTGTCCGATGAGGATGCTCATCGGACAAAGCTTTAACCGTTTAATTTTTATTGCTAAGTGTTGACCGGTGAGGACCTTATCCGGACAATGTGTTGTCCGATGAGGGTGTATCCAGACAAGGTGTAACCGATGAGTATGTTTGCCATTTCCAAGTGTTGTCAGCATAG